CAGGGCACACCCCCTGAAACTTCGGATCAAGAGGGACGAAGAGGAGGTCCTAAAAGGTCCCACTGTTTGGGGGTCTTTGGGGTGTCACATACAATGGATAGGACAGCAGATTTCCCGGAGCAACACCTTTGATATTCTGTGAGAAATCTTCCTTCTACATTTCTACATCCAAACTATTCATCAGATATGAAGGTAGAATAAAGACTTCTTCAGACATGCCAGGACCCAAACATTTTACTTCCCATATGCACTTTCTCTGGATTTACCGCAGGATGTACTCCAAGGAAACAATGATGCAAAACATAAAAACAGGAAGACTGAGGATCTGGGAAATGGAGGATCCCATGCAGAGCTGGGGTGAAGGAAAGACCCCGATGTGTAAGGGTGTCCCCGGGTGAGGCTCTGCATGGGCCCAGAGCCCCACTGAAGCATGAGGATTGGGGAGGGGTCCAGGAGGGAGGTCTGAGAAAACAACAGCAGCAGCAAGACCAACCAGAATCAAACGAAAGAGAGGAACTGAAGAATTGTCTTATGTGTTTGGAAATTAATATTGGTAGACGTTTGGGAAATTATTGAAGCTTTTGAAAAAAAGTGACGGGTGTGTAGAAACTGAACAAGTGCAATGAAGGTAATTATTCCCTTTGGGTAAAACAACTGGTTGTCTAAAACAGGAACCACAACCACATGATACTTAGATTAGCCACAATAATATCATGCTGATGGTTATGGCTTTAACCCAGAATGGAGTCATTGCCATACCGAGAAAACAGGAAAAGGGAAAGTGTAGGTGATTGTATGGGACACCCTAATCCTCACCCATCTTAACAGAAATTCGATAAATCTAAAATGGATACATCAAGAAATCATGTCCTGTGCCAATTATTTAGATGCAGAGAGGCAAATACTAGAAGAAACAGCTAAAATTGTTGCAAGTAGCAGGACTTGGGGGGAGGGGACTCTTTTTCACAATAAGCCTCATAGAACCATTTGACTTTTAAACTATATCATACATGACTTTGATAGAAATGAATATTAATACTTTAAAAAGTGAAAGACATTGGACTTTGAAGAAGCAAAAATAAGTGGCATGTCTTACCTGGGTTAACTTAGATTCTCATACGTGGCAAGAATCATTCCCCAAGAGACAGGGAGGGATTTGACATTAAACCTGCGCCGGGGAAACCCAAGCCTGCGGTTGGGTGATGTACCATGGCAGGTTCTCCCGGGCTGGCCCCGCCCTCTGGATTCTCCAAGGCCTCAAAAGTGCCAGGGGGCAGCGTGGGTGGCACAGAGAAAATCACAGCCAAGAGAGACAACTCAGGTCGGAATCCGGCTAGCTCATAAGGTACCCGGCATGGTGCTAAGAACTTCCCATGCGTTGTCTCGCTGAACCTTCCCAAGAAGGTTGTGGGCAGGGTCTTATAATATCTTTGCTCAATCGGAGAGGAAAATGCAGCTTGGAGACACAGCACAAGGTGTCCACGTTTATTGCATTTACTAAGTGGCAGAGGTGGGAAGGGAACCCGAGTCTGACCCACGGCAAAAGCTAAACTCTTCATCGTTCAGCTCCACGCCTCCCATTGCCTTTACATATTGACATAGGTTACACGGCCTGTCCAACCAATTGCAGGTCCTCTGTCTTTAAGTAAGTCACTTAACTTCTCTCAGCATCAGCTTCCTGCCCTGGAAAACCAGGGGTTCTCGCTCTACCTCACTCCGAGTTTCTGAGGCTCAAATAAGATACTACTAAGATGAAAATTTTTTTTTATAAATTCTAAGTATCAATTTATGCAAATGAAAAAATTATTCTTGAACACGAGAGGGAGACAAGTGGCCTCGTGATGCTATTTGGTCTCCTGTATAAACTTGAGAGAAGCCATCCCTTGTCAGTTGTGGTCATTTGAGGGCCCATGTTCAAGGGAAGATTTTGAGGAGAGAGGGCTGGGTTCTGGGATGCCATTCAGCGGGCAGGCTGAGGCTGTTGGCACCTTGATCTTAAAGGCGGCTGGCGACAAAGCGATCATCACCTCCGCTTGGGGAATCTGTAATATTCAGTTCGGAGATTTATTCTTCTTTTGTATTTTCCTTGAATACCAGAGTCTTTGCAGCATATGTGATGTTCAGAAGCCCTGTCACCTTCAGCTCACACTGGGGACAAGACAGAACTGAACGCCTCCTCTCTCCCTTTACCTGGCTACCTGCACAGGTACGCTTTGGAGCCGCTGTTTACTTGGGAGGCTCAAGAGCGATTTCATGGGTTCAGCGACGTTCCTTCCACTTACTTCACTGCCCGAGACTGCCACCTGGTGGACAGTGCTCGCTTTTCATTTCTGAACTTTTTCAAAGTGCTTTCCCCTTCATTCAAAAAACCATCAGATACTCTTACGGTCTGTGAGGTACGTACGGTTGGTATTATTATTAGTAGTTCCACTTTAGAATGAGAAAATGGGTGCTTAGAGAGAGGAAGGAATTTGCAAATACCTGGAACTGCATTTAGTGTCGTTTTCCTCCATTCAGCAAAACCCCCAAAATGCTGTCATCGGAGTGCTATGGGTTTGAGCCCCAATTAAGTCCTGTCTCAGCAACTGCCACCAAGTGAGGTCTTTTTACAGATTTTAATTTTATCATTACCAGGCCTTCCATTACTTTGAACGTTTGTACTTGGCAGAACAATTCTGTGCAACGAATGTGCTCGAGTCCTCCCAGAAGGAAAAGTGATACCCTTTCAACTCTTGCCTGTGCGTTTAAAGGTTTAGGGGGTTGTTGCAATCCCACAAAGCTGAGTGTAGTTAAATATGAAGACACAGAAGCCCAGCCTGTCGCTGGCGCTGACCCTGGGCAAGGCTGACCGCAACCGCTATGGGTACCCACTCTCCTCCTGAGGTGACCCGCCCAGGCAGGGACTGGCCCTGAGTCCAGCTGAGACCGCGGCCTGCCCTGGTGAGGCCATGCAGGCTCGGGACAGGGGGACTGACTGACGGCAGCAGAGAGCGGGCTCCACTGCCCACCCCTCTGCACCAGACCAGGGGTCTGGGGTGCTTGGCCAGCCCTGAGTATCTGGGGGGGTCTGTTCTCAGAGCTCCCTGAATACCCGCTTGCTGTTATGGGGTTAGGGAAGGGACCAAGAGAGCAGACGGATGCTGTTTTTGTAAGATGTAATGTACATGTGGATTTTTAGTAAAATAGGGCATTCGTTTGAACAAAAAATATGAAAATACAGGCAGCGGCATTTCCTCAGACTCCTTTGAATATATCCATCAATCACTTTATGAACAGGCGTACAGGGAGAGTCTGTCCTCCAAGGTATGGCACAGTCCGGGCTACTCACAGGGTATGTGACCAGTGTGAATACCCCCTTGTGTCATCTTCCTTGTTGGAACGAAAAGCAGTATTCATCTCAAAAAGAGCAAAGACTCAATCAGACAATGGACATCAAGCACTCGGCAGGTAACGAGACTACACCTTATGTGAGCTTCGTGGTATTAGCTGTTCTTCTGCTGTGGGTAAAAAGCAGCCCTCGGGAGGCAGCAGGAAGCCTGCACTCGTGGGATGGGCAGGTGGGCAGCCAGTGGGGTGGGTGGTTCCTTTAAATATGTTCTCCTAGGTGTTCTGCAAGCCCCTCTCCCCGGGGAGAGAGTGTGTTCTGGAAAGGTGTGTGGGCATTTTGGGTTATCCCATGAAAGGAAACACTCCAAGCACGTGGGCCAATTGGATACAGTGCAAGGGACTGTCTCACTCAATTAAGAATTGTCTCTTGAATAGGCCAGTAAGCATAAGAAAAGGCAATTAATGTCACTAGTCACTAGGGCAATGCAAATCAAAACCATAATGAGATGCTACCTCATACCCATTAGGATGGCTATTACTGAAAAAAAAACCAAAAAAACAAAATGATAAGTGCTGGTGATGATACGGAGAAATTGAAACCCTGACACACTGTTGCACTGTTCGTGGGAATGAAAAATGGGGCAGCCACTATGGAAAACGGTAAGACAGGTCCTCAAAAGATGAAAAGTAGAACTACCATATGATCCAGCAACCCCACTTCTCAGTATATACCCCAAAGAACTGAAAGCAAGGTCTTGAGGGACTATTCAGGCAGCCGTGCTCATAACAGCATTATTCGTGATAGCCAAAAGGTGGAAGCAGCCCACGTCCACCCACAGATGAATGGATAAACCAAACGTAGTACATACACCCAGTGGAATATCACTCAAGCTTAAAGAGGAAGGAAATTCTGATATATGCTACATCATGGATGAACCTTGAGGACACCATGCTGCGTGAAATAAGCCAGACACAAAAGGACAAACGTGTATGATTCCACTTATATGAGGGACTAGAGTAGTCAGACTCATAAAGATAGAAAGTAGAATGGTGGTTGGGGAGGGAAGAACTTGAGAGTTGTTTAGGGGGTACAGAGTTTCAATGCGAGATGATGAAAAGAATTCAGTAGGTGAATGGTGGTGATGGTTACACCCACAGTACAAATGCACTTAATGCCACTGAACTGTACTCTTAAAAATGACTATGATAATAAATATATGTGCATTTTACCACAATTTTAAAGAAAGAATTTTTTGACCTAAAGTGCCAAAAGCATCCCCTTGAGAGATACTGTTAGACCACCTACAAACGGTCACCTATACATATATTTGGCTATCAGAAGTTCATTCATACTTGCCAGGACTGAGTTGACTAGTGCATTTGTTGGATTTATCTAGTTTTTTTCCCCTTTGTCTCAGTTGAGAAAGAGACCTTTAAAATTAGGCTAAGGAACACCACCACGAAGCCAGAACCACAGAGATGGATCAGAAGGAATCACATTATTAACCTGACGCCTTTAGCTTCATGAAATTCTATTTATGTATAATAAATAATGCATAAATCATTTCTGTTAATCAATAAAATCACCCAAGGGGCAACACCTTGGGATTTCCAGCTTCAAACAATACTTTCGGATTTCAGCGGGGAACGGAAGAGGAAGAGAAAGCTCCTACCTTGTAGATGCAGGACTTAGCGTTCAGAAAGAAGAGCTCGATGGTGGCGTTATCCTTCAAGTACGAAATGCTTTCTATATAGAACCTGAAAGACAAAAACCGTGCATGAACCTCAGAAACGGCAGGCACAGCCAATCAGCCGTCCTCTTGAGCTACACGACTCGAGATGCCAACCGGAACGCCCAATCCTGAATGAGCAAAAGAGGAAAGTGTCATCAGTTGCTTTTCTATGATTCCTTTTCGAGGGCAAACAGCATTTTTCAGGTATCTCTACAGTGGATCAGGACTGTCTAGCCCGACAGCCCCCACCATAGCAAAGAACCAGCCTACTACCAACTTGGCAGCGCAGACTCTAAAACTGACCAGTCTGCTTTCTTTTTCTTTCCCTGCTTTCCAATTTTTCAGAACGTTATTTGTTCTCATTACAACTGCTTGTTTTGTCCTAATCGTTGTTGAGTTGGATTTTTTAAAGATAATTTCTTCTGCTTAATCACATGTCTCTCTGAAATGGTTTATTGTGTGTCTTCCTGGGGGTAGCGAAGTGTGACTTGATTTCCACACATCCAGAGAGCTGGGGTAAGTGTTAACAGCGTGAGCTATTAATGCATAATAAGCCAAATGAGAACTGGATTTCTAGCCAGATGGAGCTTATGAATTTTTCCCGAGATGAAACATGCTGACATTATTTACACTAAATGTGTCCTTACACATTGACTTCTGAGCTTATTAAATTCTTCAATGAGATAATGTGCTTGTACTGTCTAAGGACCAGCCACACTAAAGGAGCGAAACAGGGGGTGGGGGGTGGTTGAGATGCAGCTTCTTGGAGGAGAAGAAGGTTCTGGGCGGTGGCAACCCTGAGACTGGACTCGGAAGGTACGGGGTACCTGGCTCCCAGAAACTGAGCGTACCAAGAGGAGGCAGAAGGTGAAATGAGAAGCAGCAAGTTCTATGATCTTCTAGAACAGCACTATGATCTGACCGCAAGACTCCTGGGAAGAGAGTCAAAGACCAGTGATCTAGAACCATCTCTGTGTAACTTAGGGCAAGTCACATGAACTTGCCGGGTTTCTGTTTTCTAGACTGTAAAAGAAGACAGTGGAACTAGGTCAATGGTTCACCATCTAAGAAGTCCATCGGTTTTTAAATGTGGGAAACTAATTCGAATTACAACAACAACAGCGGAAACAACCAGCCAACACTGCATAAGGCAAACAGAACATGTCTGTAGGCTAGGTCAAGTCCACGGCCTACCGGTTTGCCACCTTTTGTCTACAGACTAAATAAATAATGTCTTCTATCATTTTGCAAATGCATGCAGAGGCTGCTGTGTTTAACACAGTATCTGTTCATTTAAATGCGTGAGTGACTTCAGAGTAACCTCAGACATCAGTAGGTTTTCTCAGTCTGCAGGTATTATTAGTACAATTACCATCATGTCAGGGTCTATAATTCTCAAGGGATTACAAAGCAGTCTTCACACTTGCAAAGCCTGGGCACGAATGAACTAGTGGGTCACCTTCCACGCCCCCTGTGTCCCCAGCAAGCACACGCCTCCTGCTTTTGAAGCAAGTGTTTTAGGGCATGGAGGCCTCCACACACCTCCACCGTGGCCTCAGAGGTAAAGTTGTACAACTTCCAGTTCTTTAATAATAGAAAACTCAAAGGCAGAAGCACATGTTACATCTCGAAGCAAAATAAATGAAGATTGATTTAATTTTTTAAAGCTAATCCATATCCTTTACAAAGGGCCTTTGGCAAAGGGTAATGAGAATCACAAAATAAGTGGAAGGAAGGAAAGAAGGAAAACACAGGAGAAGGGAGGTGAGGGAGAGGGGAACCCTAATATCAGAACATTAGCAGAGGCCTCCTGCTAATGCTAAGGTTGACAGCAACCTCGGTAATCTAATGATAATTTTGAATCTAAATCTGTAGGGTCTGAAATAATTTTAAAAGCAATACCATTCATCTTTATGTCATTTGCTTTTGCTCTTGAGAATAAAGGAATGAAGACATTCTACGTCCCTCCCCTACCCTCATCCCAATTTTCTCCTGCATGGCGTATTAAGAAAACAGAATACTTCTCTTGTCTTTCCAACTCTCTCCTAACGGAAAACTGAAATGAGGCAGCAAATGACACTCCTTTGGGGACAGCATTCGTTTCCACTGGGCTACGTGGTCTGGCCCTAACAGAGGCAGAGCAGGCCCAGGAAAAAACAAGCTTATTTTGAGATGAAGGAAAAAAATATCACCTCCTTTACACAGTATTGGAAAGTGGTTTCCTGTTTACTTTTCTCACCGAGACAACAGTCTGGAAAACCCTGTGAGTTCCGGGCCTGTCCTGTTATTGTTGCGTTACACTCGGATATCTAGCTCATCCTGAATTTCCAACCCTGCCAGGGAGTCAGAAACGCCTGGAGAGAAACAGACCTCAGACACCTCCGTCCACACAGGGAGAGAGGCACAGCTCACACCGGGGGCCCCGGGGAGACGGGAGCGTTGATGGTGCGAGTCAAAGTCAAGATGTTTCTTTTCTTCTTTTTTTTATTTATTTATTATTCCAGGGTATTGTGAGGGTACAAACATTATAGTTACACTTCATGTCTTTGCCTCACCCAAATGCGGGTTAAAGGCATGCCCTTCCCTCCCTTTAGTGCTCCCTGTGTCCTTTAGTTGTAGATTTGCCCCCCCATCCCCTAATCCCTAGAGAGTATTTCTGCCATGTGATCAACCTAGTGTTGATCAGTTAGTACCAATTTGATGGCGAGTACAAATGGATCCCGTTCTGCTCTTGTGGTGCCCCATTTTGGATAATGTGCTTGAGTTTAATCCAGGAAAGTGTAAGAGGTGCTAGATCACTGTCATTTCTTATGATTGAGTAATATTCCATTGTAAACATATACCAAATTTTAATAATCCACTCATGGATTGACGGGCACTTGGGTTGTTTCCACATTCTTGCAATAGTGAATTGTGCTGCCATAAACATTCGGGTGCAGATGTCTTTATCGTAGAATGTTTTGTGCTCTTTTGGGTAGATGCCTAATAGTGCTATTGCTGGATCGAATGGTATTTCTATTTTTAGCTCTCTGAGGTATCTCCAAATTCTTTTCCACAGAGGTTGCACTAGTTTGCAGTCCCACCAGCAGTGTAGAAGTGTTCCTGTCTCTCCACATCCTCGCCAACATTTGTTGTTTTGTGTTTTTTTGATCGAGGCCAATCTCACCGGGGTTAGGTGATACCTCACTGTGGCTTTGATTTGCATTTCTCTAATGACTAGAGATGTTGAGCATTTTTTTATATGTTTGCTGGCCATTATTCTGTCTTCTTTTGAAAAGTTTCTGTTCATTTCCCTTGCCCATTTGTTGATGGGGTTGTTTGATTTTTTCTTGTTGATTTTTTTGAGTTCTATCTAGAACTCAAAAAAATCAACAAGATGTTTCTTTTCTTTTTCAAAAATTCAGTTGTTTTTCTGATTTTCGTGAGAGTCTTGCCAGAGGTCCTCCTCTCTGGCAGTAGGTGGCGATGTTGCATTTCCGTAACTATCGGTGTGGGGCAGAGGGTTTCCGCAGCTCACAAAGAACATTCCAGGTCTCTGGGAAGACCCAGGGAAATGAACGCTCTTAGAGTCAGAGGGTCTGCACGGACGATTCCAAGTCTGGTTCTGTATTAACTGTGTCTCGATGATGCTTTGACATCAGGGGCCTTGCCGTCCTTGGAGGGACTGTCCGGCCAGGGTCGGCCAATTCCTAGTGACAGTAACGGCTCGCCAGTGGGCACGACTTCCATGAGCAGCCCACTAGCCGTCCAGAGCCCACCCCTCCCAACACCTCCGGGGGCTCTCACACGCAGGGCCACTATTCCCCTGCCCTAATCACCCCAGGAACACGTACCAGACAACTAGCGACAGCCCTGTGCCCCAGAGCCTGCTGAAATTATTCAAACTAGCCAATCCTAAGTCTGCTTACCCGGCCTCGCCTTCCCACAGAAACCACAATAAAGGCTCCCGTTCACGTGTGCCCTCACTCCATCTGGTTCCTCCCTGTGTCGTCCTGCGTGGCGTGGCATGGCGTGGTGTGGCCTGCCCCCTCCCCTTCTGAACTGTGGGTAACAAACTATCTTTTCAACGGTGGTCCTCTCCTGACCTGTTGGCCTCACCACAGCTGAATAACAATAAAACCTACCTTCTAAAACAGGCTTTTTGGCACATTTAGCAGGGCTAAATATTAGGGCTTCTTTTTGAGTTAAAAGGAACAAGCCTCTAACCGAGGGCAACTATAGCTAAGGGGTTCCTTGACTCCAGATCGGAGCAGCATCACACTCAAGCCAGCGCAGAAGATCCAGGCCTGAGAACGTCTTATCCGACAGTGTGCGCTAGAAATAAGTATATGCTCCCTGCTTACATGTTTTTGTTTGTTTGTTTGTTTGTTAAGACAAGGTCTTGCTCTGTCGCCCTGGGGAGAGTAGAGTGGCATCATCCCAGCTCACAGCAACCTCAAACTCCTGGGCTCAACCGATCCTTCCGCCTCAGCCTCCCGAGTAGCTGGGACTACGGCATGCGCCACCATGCCTGGCTAATTTTTTCTATATACATATTTTTAGTTGTCCAGCTAATTTCTTTCTATTTTTAGTAGAGATGGGGTCTCACTCTTGCTCAGGCTGGTCTTGAACTCCTGACCTTGAGTGATCCTCCCGCCTTGGCCTCCCAGAGTGCTAAGATTACAGGCGTGAGCCACCACGCCTGGCCTGTTTGTTTGTTTTTTAAAACAAGGTCTTGCTCTGTCGCCCTGGGGAGAGTACAGTGGCATCATCACAACTCACAGCAACTTCAAACTCCTGGGCTCAAGCGATCCTCCTGCCTCAGCCTCCCGAGTAGCTGGGACTACAGGTGTGTACCACCACGTCAGGCTGATGTTTTCTATTTTTCGTAGACACCAGGTCTCATTCTTGCTCAGGCTGGTCTCGAACTCCTGACCTCAAGGGATCCTCCCACCTCGGCATCCCAGAGTGCTAGGATTATAAGCGTGGGCCACTGTGCCCCGGCCCCTGTTTACATGTTTGAGCCTATTACATATTCAAGAGGCT